TATTTATATATTTATAAATATTATAAAAATAATATTTATAATTAATAAGTATTTAATTATATGTTTATAGAAGAATTTACATTTTTAATATATTATTTAATAGAATTATAAGCTTTTAAAAAGTGTAAGTTTTGGTGTAAAAGTGGGCGTTTTTCGGAATTACTGCGAACCCACTGTAAGCGTGCGTAGGCGTAGCCATGGCAAGTCAAGTGGTCAAAGATGAGCAGGGCTACTAACTAGGTACGTAAGGGATCAACATCACCCCAATGCCTTTCAATGGACACTCTGTGTCAAGTGACAAACAGCAGACCCCAGAAGACCCTGGCCGAGCACAGCAATTAGACGGGAACTAACTAGTTGTTTAGAATGCGACAGCCTGGGCACCTGGGGCGATGTCTGCCAGGAAACATGAAGGATGCCTTGATGGAACTCCACTACCGAGACAAAGGCCGAGACTAAGACGGAGAAATGTGAAGTCGTGTTGGCGGCCAAGGATACGGAAACAATTGTCCAATTACGATGATTGAATTGTAATGTGGTTTCGCCATCGACAATGCCATTGTCAGCCTCTAGTTTGGTAGCAATTCATCTGGCAGCTGCATGTTTCTTTTTATGCCAACCGCTCTGCATTATCATCTAGGCCTAGTCTCCGCGTTCTCCAACATGTTACGTCCTTTTAAGGCTAGCATTGAGAGTCATGTGCATGAAATCCTACAATCACCACTCCCAAGTCACTTAAACCTGAGCGTAATTCTTCCCTTGGATAATCGTACCATCATAGTCGATGCCTGTAGTCGAGTTTGTGAGGGTGTAGTTACCAAAGCAGGCAAAGCCATAATTGCTCAACTCGAATGCGTTCTCCTGGCTCTCCAGAAAGCTACCCAAATCGCACAGGCCGTCGAGTCGGCCAGACGTTGCGTTGCCGCACTTGCCACCACGAATCGTGTTGAGCGGCAGGATGCCATTGTTCAAGTGCATCCGCACGAATTTATGGCTCGAGTTTGAAGCTTCATAGCCATACTGCCCTGGCGCATATTGAGCCCGGAGCCTCTCCACGGGCTCAGGATCAGATGCACCACAGCCGATGACCTCGGTGATGAGGTTCGCCCCAAACGGAGTGAGACGCGACAGAGTGAAGTGATTGTTGGAGCTCGGGGGGAACCTGGATATAGTCGGCGCATCCTTGAGGTAGTCTAGCGACATGGCTGTCAGAACCGAGATGATGATATCATCATGAGAGAAATCGGCATAGATTTGCTGTCCCAGAGGAAAGGTGTTTGGGTTGTCGTCAAGCGTAGCGTTTACGGATGAGTTGGAGGACGCAATGTATTCGTGGTTAATACGAGCGATCAATTCCTGCAAGTAGCCGATGCCTTGAGCGCGACCGGTGGGATTGCCATAGCTATAAAGGTAATAATCTATCCGCTGCGTTAATTTCTGAAGCCGAATCAGACGATGACGACAATTTGCTCACACTGTAGATCGAGGACGTTTTCGAACCCGTCCCACTCTTCCAATGTAAACAAATTGCAAAATTCGGACATGCCAATGAATGAATACTCGTAAGCACAAGTCATTTGCATTGCATACAGGTCCTGGTAGTCAAACTTGAAGCCTCGTGGGGCATAGGCTTGGAGCCGACGAAGCGCAGAGCGCAAGTAGATCTTCTTGTAAGCGTCCTGGTGCTGAGACGCAATGTTCCCATTGGCTTCGCTGTTGTCATTGAAGCAGCTATCGTAGGAAGCAAGAGTGTTGTTTTCCGTGCCCCCTTCAGGAATAATGACGACACTAAACGGGCTCTCCCATTTCGTCAGTGTCGGATCCGGGGTCGAATTGAAAGATGGACCGAAGAATCCAAGCGACCAGTTTATCAGGCTATTTTCGATTCTCGACTGTCCAGTTGTCCGTAGAGTAACCTTTGGGCGGCTGCTCCCATTGCTCGCAAAGGACGGACTGTATTGCAACTGGGCGACGGATGCGTCGTACAGAGTCCGCCCGTATCGGTTCCAAAACGATGCGCCTGCGCCGAATTCTGTGCTGGCACCGCGGCCAGTGAGAAGCCCCGTGTCATTCATGATGTAAACATGGGAATTCAGAAACGTCAATGGCCCCGTGAATGCCTCCTTGCCGCCGTTGGCTTTGGTGTAGTTTGCTACCTTTTGCGCAAATCCGCCAGTAACTGCTCCATCCACACTATCAGGATATCGCTCTGCATGGCGCTGAAGAGTGCTCACGGATTCCTGATGCGGTACAAGTCAAAAATGTTGTGGTGGTGGAAGGGCCCTGGAGGATGCGACTCACCACTTGGCATCCATCCGGAAGGCCAACGAATTGCACCCCGAAGGCATCCTCCACGTTGTCGGCGTAGATGGAGAGCTCGCCCCAAGATCTGTATATACTTGGAATATCAGTGACTACTGCCGAAGTCACACTGGAGATGTGCAGTCCCAGAATCACGAACTGAATGTGCTGTGGATGCATCTCGAACGAAGTGCCACTCAGACGGGTTCCATGTACGTTAATCAGGAAAAAGAAGAGAGAGAGAAAAAGAAGCCACTGGTTTTCGAGAACAAAGTATGACCTTGTTTCCGTCCGTCCTCCTACAACACTGACCTCACCGATCCAAAAAGCGACCTTGACATGGTTTCTCCGGCTAACCGGCAGAGGCTGCATCCTACAATTCGATTGATGGTCCTGCCAGGGGCCGAGTTGGGAGGAGTGTGGCGTTGTGACGCTGCGACTGACTGGATTGGGCTAATCAGTCCATGTTGGCAAACTCGTGGGATCCCTCCACCATCCAGGCACCACCCAGTTGTAAAATGCTGTGCTTCGAAACGCATTTACCAATGTTATCTATCCATCTATCATGCCGCTTAGTCCAATGGTCTGCTCAACCATCCGTCTTTTGCATCAACGAGTGAGCTAATGCCGCTGGGACGTGAGGGATTTACACGATCCTATCAAGCTGGTGAATGAAACCACGTGGGAGCCTTCAGTCTGGGTCATGCTGTCCTGTTGGGTGAACTAATCATGTGAATGGTCGCTTCAGGCGCAATATGACCTGCGGCTTCTATGACGCCGTGGAGCGCATAGATAGATGGTGAGAGCTGATTGAGGGACGGATTGCTTAAAAAAAAAAAAAGAGAAAAAAAAAAAAAAAATAAAAAAAAAAAAAAAAAAAAATAGAAGAAGAATGCATTTATTACGCGGGGCCACGGCTCGTAGGCTGAGTAAATTTTTAAAACTCTAGGAGAGTAGAGCTTGAAATATGATATAATATAATATAATATCTCTTTAATGTCAGCTGCAAAATGCGGCATATACCAGACGGCATACAAGCTCCCAATTGCACAGTCAATTGCGGAGCGTTCCCTTTTGCATTGTGCGTTGGCCGATCGGTTGTGTTTGGCATTTGACATTTAAAATAAAAATAAGTGGTAACGAGCACAGATCCACAGTGACCTCTAGGAAAGTACTCTTTGAGTAAGTCTTCCTTATCTTCACCATCGGCGTTGTCGATGACTATAAGCCAGTCGATATCTGTTGATATGTTAACGAATATCCACATTGAATTACAACGTGTCTTACCAAGGGCGACTCGGCACTCCATGACAACCTATTTTGCGGCCTTGGGACTTAGCTTCTCATTGTTAGTAAGTCTAAGCTCTAGTTAGCTTAAGCTGCAACCTACGCTATAGCCTGTAATTGGATCGTAATAGTATTATATAAAGGGGTATATACGAGTGTACTATCTTTAAGCTAATAAAATAAATAGTTATTTCTTTATAAATTTAATGTAATATTAAATAGCTACTTAAAGCGCGAATAGTTATACTATACGCTAATACTTATAGCTCTTTAATTTACTTATAGTTATAGTAATATTAAACTCCTTATAATATAAAAGTAATAAATTAGTTTATATTATAGCTCTTTAAATTAATAATAAGAATAAGATAATATATAAAGATAATATTATTATCTTAAAGATAAGAACTATAATATAGTTTATATTAGAATACTATTAATAGAAATTATAAGTTCTATTCTAGTATAAATAACTTATTAGTTTGTGTAGGGAAAAACCACACAAGATAAAAGAAAGTAAAAGACGGTAAATATATCGTAAAATATCAGTTAAAAATATTAGTCAAAAATATTAGTAAACATAACAGCTATAAGAGCTAAGAAGGTTAGGGT